CAAATGATCCACCTGCCTCTGCCTCCCAAAGTGCTGGGATACAGGCATGAGTCACCACATGCAGCCAAAAGTTATTTTAAAGTAGAGAAGTTCTTGGCACTGTTCTGTACTCTGACAGTCCTGGCACAGGCCTGGTCTCCAGTGATATTTATGAGTCCTCGTTTGCTTCATTTTTCTGGTAGTGCTGGGGCTCCTGTTTATTCCTGCTGGTGCTGTCTGCAGAGGTAGAAGGCACTTCCCTGGGCCACTTGTTATCACTGGAGCGGGTGGGGGAGGCCAGAGCAGGTGGGGGAGGCCAGAAGATGTAGGGTCTGGTAAAATGTCTGATGCTGGGTGGAGGGCCCAGAGATCCAGGGTTCTGCTGACATCGTCACTGTGGGTTGGATTGGTCTGTCACTGCTCCAGGTATGGAGAAGGGATTGAGGCTCCCTACTGGGAGACCCTCTCTGTTGGGCTTCTTCTTTCCTGGTCTTTTGGCTGGAGAGAGCAGGTTTTTCTTCTACTTTTGAGTATGTGTTTATGCTGTTGGTAGATCTGTGTGGCAGGCTTCTTCGGGTTATGTGAGTGATAAAACGAAAACTCCAGGGAACTCACCATAGTGTCAGCCTTCAAGTCCTGAGATGCCTAGTCAGTCACTGCCTTCTTTCCAGCCGTCAGAGTCCTTTTATGGCTGTCTGTTGAACTGTTTCCAGAGTATTTAGTTATTTTTAGAAGGGAAGAACAGAGAAAAGTGAATTGACAACCTTGTCTATTACATGCATTAAAAAACATTGTGGTATAATGCACCCACCATAAAGTTGACCATTAGTGGCAATTAGTGTGTTCATAAGGTTGCGCAACCATCATTACTATCAGACATTGTTCTGGTCCAGAAGGAAACCCTATACCCATTAAATAGTCGCTTCCCATTCCCTGCTTTCCCCTTCCCCTGGCAACCTCTCTCTGTCCTGCTTTAATCTACTGTCTCTGTATATTTGACTATTCTGGATATTTTAGATAAATGGAGTCTATAATATGTGGTCTTTTGTGATCAGCTACTTTCACCTAGCATAATGTTTTCGAAGTTTATCCATGTTTAGCATGCATGAGTACTTCGTTCTTTTTAGTGGCTGAATAATCCACTGTATGGACATACCATATATTGTTTATCCATTAATCAGTATGTGGCTATTTGGCTTGTGTCCACCTTTGGCTCTCATAAGCCCTAGCGCCTGGCTGGCAGTGTCTTTTGAAGCAAAAAAGTTTTAAATATTGCTGATGTCCAATTTATCTACATTTTTCTTTTGTTGCTTGTGCTTTTGGTGTCATGTCTAAGAAACCATTGCCAAATCCAAGATCATGAGGTTTACTCCTATGTTTTCTTCCAAGAGTTTTATAGTTTTAGCTCTTCTATGTAGGTCTTTAATGCATTTTGAGTTAATTTTTGTGTAGAATGTGGGATAGGAGGCTAGGCACAGTGGCTTTTGCCTGTAATCCCAGCACTTTGTGGAGGCTGAGGCAGGAGGATCACTTGAGGTCAGGAGTTTGAGATCAGCTTGGTCAACATGGTGAAACCCCGTCTCTACTTAAAAATAAAGGCCAGGCATGGTGGTTCATGCCTGTAATCCCAGCATCTTGGCAGGCCAAGGCAGGTGGATCACCTGAGGTCAGGAGTTCGAGAACAACCTGACCAATATGATGAAACCCCGTCGCTTCTAAAAATATAAAAATTAGCCGGACCTGGTGGCATGCACCTGTAACCCCAGTTACTCGGGAGGCTGAGACAGGAGAATCACTTGAACCCGGGAGGTGGAGGTTGCAGGGAGCCGAGATCGTGCCGTTGCACTCCGGCCTGGGCAACAAGGGCTAAACTCTGTCTTAAAAAAAAAAAAAATTAGCTGAGTTTGGTGGTAGGCCCCTGTAGGCCCAGTTACTTGAGAGGCTGAGGCAGGAGAATCGCTTGAACCTGGGAGGCAGAGGTTGCGGGGAGCCAAGATTGTGCCATTGTGCTCCAGCCTGGATGACAGGGTGAGACTCCATCTCAAAAAAAAAAAAGAAAAAGAGAATGTGGGTTAGGAGTTCAGCTTTATTCTTTTGCATGTCAATATCCAGCTGTTCCACTGCCATTTGTTGAAAAGACTATTCTTTTTAAATATATAATTTATTTAATTATTTTATTATTATTGTTTTTGAGATAGGGTCTCATTATGTTGCCCAGGCTGGTCTTGAACTCCTGGGCTCAAGTGATCCTCCCACTTCAGCCTCCCAAAGTGCTGAGATTATAGACGTGAGCCGCCTACTGAAGAGACTATTCTTTCCCTATTAATGGAGGAGTTATCACCCTTGTCAAAAATCATTTGACCATATATGCATGGATTTATTTCTGGACTTGCAATTCTATCCCGTTAGTCTATATATTTATCCTTATGTCAGCACCACACCGTTGCATGCAATTTTATTTATTTATTTATTTATTTATTTATTTATTTATTTATTGAGATGGAGTTTCGCTCCTGTTGCCCAGACTGGAGTGCAATGGTGCAATCTCGGCTCACTGCAACCTCCGCCTCCCAGCTTCAAGCAACTCCCTTAGCCTCCTAAGTAGCTGGGATTATAGATGTGTGCTGCCATGCCTGGCTAATTTTTTGTATTTTAGTAAAGACAGGGTTTCACCATGTTGGCCAGGCTGGTCTCGAACTCCTGACCTCAGGTGGTCCACCCAGCTCAGCCTCCCAGAGTGCTGGGATTACAGGTGTGAGCCACCGCGCCTGGTCTGCATTCAGTTTTAAAGGAAGATTTCTATGGCTTACTTTGGAAAATGGTTTGTTAGAAGCTGGCCTAGATGCAGGGACCCCTGTTGAGTAAGCAATTCCAAGATCCAGCCCCAAAACAATGGGAACTGGACTAGGGTCTGGTAGTAGTGATGAAGAAATGGGGAGAGATTTCAGAGCTGTTCTGGAGCCAGAATGAGCAGAACTTAGCCAAAATTGGGTGCGGCAAGTGAGAAAGAGAGCACTCAAAGAGGATGTTGTTTCTGGCTTGGATGATGGATGGTGCCAGCTCCTTGCAATGGAGGAGAATAGAAGAGTCCTATTTGGGGGAAAAATGGAGAGTCTGTTTTGGATGCTCTGGGTCTGAGGTGTCCCAATCTCAGGTGTTCTGTGTGTGCACACGTGTGTGTGTGTATAGGTACTTGTACAGGTGCCTAATACATTCCAGGCCCTTACATCTGATAACAGTGTGTTCTCAATGATGAACTGGACAATCTATTGATAGTTCCACCCCTGAAGGCTCTAGCAACCCTTGTCCAGGGCCTGGAAGGGTTAATTGAGGTGGAGAAGGGAGGATGGCAATTGGTCAATGATTCTCTCTGTCTTAGACAACACTAGCTGTTTTATGGCTGTGCTCTGCCCTTTCCATTTGGGGCCCCAGGATTGTAGGGCAAAGGCCAATAGGCAGTTTGTGGCTGTCAGCAGGAAGTAGTGAGCTCCTTTAGCTCCTGTAGATCCCACCCAAGCCCCTCAACAGCCATGGCTCCTCCTAACACACAGTGTCCGTTTGGTAGAGGGCAAGCCATGGGCTACCCCAGTCACTACAAGGCAGCTCTGAAGCCTTGCCTGTCTATTGCAGGAGGGAGGAGGAGGATTGAGGGCAGGGCAGCTGGGGTTGAGATCTGTGGCCTTCTGCCCAGTGACCTGGTATTGTGCATCTGCTGGGTTGCTGGGGTAGAGATGAAGTCTTTCTTCCTCAGCCCAAACAAGTTAGGTCTTTGAAGATCTTACTCACTGCCTCGTAGGCTGCAACAGCCATATTTTCCAGATTAAAAATGCCTCCCTTTGGTAACTATGGTCCGTGTGTGTGCATGTGGCACGTTTACACATGGGCGGGAGAGATCATTAAGGGAAGATTCACGCTCCTCAAGTAAAAAGAGACGAAATTAAGTACAGGGCTTTGGAAAGGGACTGTGAAATCAAGGAACAATCAGAGTTTACATTCAGGGTAAAATTGCCTCTGATGTTGATGGTAAGTGAGCATTTCTTGCTTCCAAGGCAGATGCAAAGCTGTGCAGGAACTGCTTGCTTGGAATGAAGGCAACTTCCACAGGGTGCTGAGTGCCTTATTCCTCTCTGCCCACAGTGCCTGGCACAGAGGACTAAAACAAGTAGCTACCATTTAGGTAAGGGCTTTGGTGGGCCATGTACTCCATGCCAGGCACTGTAACTACAATCATGGAAGGCTTTCCAGATGGGGAGGACAAGGACCAGAGGGGAAAAGTCTCTTGCCCAAGTTCACCCAGACTAGCAGAGGTTGAGCTGGGCTTTAAACTCAGGACTACATGAATACAAATCTATGGTCTTTCCAAAGCCATGCTATAAAGATACACAGCAAAATTTGTGGAGTAAATGATTCACTGAATGAGTTAGCACATGAATGAATGATAAATGAAGAAATGATGAAATGAGTTAGTGAACGAATACATCATCAAACGAAGAAGAGTCTCCCCTCACCACCCATTGCCCTTCTCTTATTTCCTCCTCTCCCTCCCTCTGGCCTTCCTCTTCCCTCTCCTCTTTACTGCCTCTTGTCTTCTCCCTTATCCCTCCCTTGTCTTCTCTTACCTCTCCTTTCTTCCTTCTCTTCCCTCTTGCATTTCTCTCTCCTCCCTTCCTTCCTTGTTCCTCTCATATCCCTACTTTCCTTACCACTGTTTAGTATTTCTTCCTATGCACGTTCATCGCCATCCCACTTTTTTTTTGAGTCAAGGTGTCACTTTGTCACTCAGGCTGGAATGCAGTGGTGCGATCACAGCTCATTGTAGCCTCAACCTCCTGGGCTCAAGTGATCCTCCCACCTCAGCCTCCTGAGTAGCTGAGACGGCAGGCACATGCCACCACACCCGGTTAATTTTTGTATTTTTTTTTTTGTAGAGACAGAGTCTCATTATGTTGTCCAGGCTGGTCTCAAACTCCTGGACTCAAACAATCCTCCTGCCTCGGCCTTCCAAAGTCCTGGGATTACAGGCCTGAGCCCCTGCACCCAGTTGCACTCCCTATTTCTTGCATTTTTTTTTCTCTTCCCCAGCTGTCTCATCTCCCTGGTCCTTCCCCCACCACCGCTGTGTGGTTCTGTCCTCACCCCTTACCAAAAGAAATTAAAAACAAAACAAAAACCACAAACAAGAAGAGAGGAAAATAATGAAATAACACAAGCGGGCACTGGACATTTACTTGTGTCCGGTGCTATACTAGACATTAGAAATTGGCAGAGGATAAGGCACGTGCAGTTCCTGCATCAGTGGACCTCATCGGGGAAGCCAGATACTGTCAGCCAAGAGATGGGAAGAAGCAAGGTGGCCTGAGAACTTTCAGGCGGCCCCCACCTGTCTAGGGGCCCTAGAAGGCTCTTAGCATTTGCGCTGAAACCTGAAAGGGTGAAGCAGCAGGCATCAGCTGGGGAAGGGGAGTGGAGATGGATGCCCAGCCTGTGGAAGACCCAGACCTAACTGGGAGAGCCTTCCTCTTTGGAGGAAGTCAAAGGAACCCTGCAAGGGTGGAATGGAAAAGGAAAGGGACATATGGAGGGGCAAAAAAGGTGAAAAGGAGACTGGGACCAGATACAGAAGGGCCTTTTGGGTCTGCTAACAACTGGAGGACTCTGTCCTAAAGGTAACGGGAAGCCATGGAGGGGTTTACCAGGGGGATGGCTTAGAGATGGTTCCGGCTGCCCAGAGGGCCAGTGGGGTGAGTGGTCTTCCTCTCTTTGACCTTCACTTCCTCATGTATAAATATCTAACTTACTCTGTGTGTGTGTGTGTGTGTGTGTGTGTGTGTGTGTGTGTGTGTGTGTAGTGGGGAGCTTGTTAACAGATGTACATGCCTGGCCTGTGGACTGTGCAGTAAGTGTTGATAAAGGCACTCTTCCCTGACTTGATTTCCTTCTGCATCTCCTCCCAGGGGCCCACTCCTGCTTAAAAACACCATGCATGCAGGTGAGCTGTCCCCATGATTCCCACAGGGAGGGTGGCCCCAGATTGAGGGTGGGGGTGGTGGGAGGACTGGGGAGTTCATCCAGCAGTTAGATTGCTGTGTTGAGGCAGGTGTTCGACAGCTGCCCCATGGTCTCCTCCACATAGCCCGCTTCACCCAGAACAGGCAAACTGTTAAGGCTATAGGCAGCTTTGCCAGGGTTGCTCTGAGAACCTAATGCCATGTGTACTGGCAGAGTAGTTCTAGCAACTTACGAGTTTGTCTCTGGCTTGGAGCACCCCAATTCTGCAAGGCTCAGGGCTCCTTGTTAGTACACTTAGGTTACCCTGTCGCATGTGGCCAGCTGGAAGTGAGGTAACTCATAACGAGGCTCTTCCTTCCCTTTTTCTGCCTTAAAGTAGAAGAGATTCCTCATTTGTCTGTGTGTAAGCTTCCAATTGTGTAACTGGCATTGGGCTAGGAGCTGGGGTTGCCCCAGGGGCCAAGGTATACACAGTTTTTGTCATTGCAAAGTTCATCTCTAGCAAGAGCTAGACCACTAAATGAGTCACTGGAATGAAATGTGCTGAGTATTTTGCTAGAAGTAGGATTAAGCAAAGGATAATGAGAATTACTCCCATGCAATTTCACAAACCGAGGGGATTGAGTTTGTTCAGGATCATGAGCCAGGAGGGAGCAGGTTGTGGTCAAAGAACGGAACTGAGAGACCATGGAGGCAAGTGGCGAGTGATGGGATGGAAAGGTGGGCTGGGCACAGTCGCCAGGGCCTTGTAAGTCACAGCAAGGGGCTTTCATCCTAAGAATAGTGGGAGCCCTGGAAAAGCCTTAACAGGTGTAGTATGGCTGCATTTGTCTTTTCTCTCTCTCGAGACTGCTTCTGGGAGCGTGACAGTTGGCTGCTGGAGAGAAAGGGGCACTGGCACTGAGAGACCTCCAGACTGGACATGGCCCTGAGCCCAGGGGCTAACCTGGTCTTCCATGAAGACCCAAAGATGACACCAAGTCTCCCCTCCTGTGGGGCCCCAGGATTAGGGTCTGGTACCATCCCTCGGCCCCACCCAGACACGGCTCATGTGCCTATGTTGAATCTACTCCCAAGTCCTGGCTTGGCTCTCGTTCCAGATCTTAATCCTTCTCTGAGTCCTGTCTCAGGGGAGGCCTCGGGCCTGGTGCCTGAAAACACCCCCAGACCTGATGACAGCAGGGCCATAACTCCAGCCTCCCTCCAGATCACCAGTTCTTGCTCTGGTGAAGCCCTGGACCTGGATTCCATGAATGTCTCAAGGCCTGAATCACAGGGACACCTCTGTCCAGCCTCAAACCCCATTCTGAGTCCCAGCTCTACTGAGGCCCCTGGTCTGAGCTCCGGGAACCACCCTCAGTCAAATTCTGAAGATGCCTTCAAGTGCCTCTCAAGTAAGATTTTTGAGTTGGGTCAGAGAAACTCCAACCCTTCTAGGCATGAATTAAACCCATTTATAAGGCACCATTCCAGAGAAGGCCTGGTTCTGGGTCACTGCATCTCTAGGCCAAGCTCAAAAGCATTCCTTATTCCAGCCTCCAACTCTTCTCTCGACCTTGACTCCAATCCATTGCTCAACATGGGCTCAAGAAACACCTCCAAGCTGAACCTGAATGTAGCTCCAGATTCTCGTGGGACCCTAATCCCAGACACAAATGAGACCATCACTTTGGCTTCACATAACATCTCTGGGTCTGTTTCAAAAGGAGCCTTTAGTACCACCTGGAGCACAAGTTCCAAGGGAACCATGAATGTGGCTTCCACCGGCCACCCCAGATCTGATTTGAACATGACCATCACTCAAGCCTCATATGTGACCCTGATTCCTGGCTCTAGTGATGGTATCAGCCTCCATTCCAGCACCCATGGGCCCAACTCCACCATCTCTCCACCCTCATGCATGACTCTAATCCTGGGTTCCAATGAGACTCTGAGCCTGGACTCCAGCCTCGTGTTCAGTGACACCTCCACCTTGACACTGAGCAGTCAGCAGGATGATGCCGAGGACAACAGCATCCACACTGTACCCCTGGAGGAGAATCTGGAGAGCTGGAGTGAGATGGCCAGCATTAAGGTGGACCAGTTCCCGCTGGGACTCCCCACCTCCAACCCCACAGGCAAGGATGCCATGACCTTGCAAGGCATCCCTGAGGGTAAGGCCAGGGCCGCAGCCCTAGAAAAAGCACTGTCCTGGGGGAATTCTGTCTTCAGACTCATAGGGCAGGGAGAGGAGAAGGAAGGAAGGAAGGGGACAGCAGGCAGTTGATAACATATGATCTATTAATTCTATACTAGACATCTAATAATCGGCCTCTGCTAGCGGTGTGACTTGGGACAAGCTACTTAATCTCCCTGAGCTTCAACTTCCTTAACTGTAATATCAGTATACAGCCGGGCGCAGTGGCTCACGTCTGTAATCCCAGCATTTTGGGAGGCTGAGGCAGGTGAATCATCTGAGTTGGGAGTTTGAGAGCAGCCTGGCCAACATGGTGAAACCCCGTCTCTACTTAAAATACAAAGAATTAGCCAGGCATGGTGGCGCATGCCTGTAATCCCAGCTACTCGGGAGCCTGAGGCAGGAGAATTGTTTGAACTTGGGAGGCAGAGGTTGCAGTGAGCTGAGATCTCGCCATTGCACTCCAGCCTGGGCAATAAGAGCAAAACTCGTCTAAAAAAAAAAAAAATCACTGTATAATAATACTTGGACTCTGTCCAAATTATAAGTCTATTGTATCAACAGACTATCCCTTCCATTCAAAATGTATGTCTCTTTCTTCCTTGATACATTTCAGACCTGGCTTCTCAGGTCTGAGCAAAGCCTTGGGGTCCTGTCTGGAACCTGTGCCTCCCTTCTGATATGTAGAATTTCTGTAAATTAATCCCCTGTCAGTTTCTGATGCTATATCTTTTCTTAATCAATTTTTATTTGTCCATTCACCAATACTGTATTAAGATTTTTTAAAAAGGACCATGGTTTTGTAAGTAGGTGTTCATATCTAATGAGAATCCCTTTTTTTTTTTTTTTTTTTTTTTTTGAGAGGGAGTCTCATTCTGCAGCCCAGGCTGGAGTGCAATGGCTCGATCTCAGCTCACTGTAACCTCTGCCTTCTGAGTTCAAGTGATTCTCCTGCCTCAACCTCTTGAGTAGCGGGAATTAGAGGCACCCACCACTCTACCCAGCTAATTTTTATATTTTTAGCAGAGACAAGGTTTCGCCATGTTGGCCAGGCTGGTCTTGAACTCCTGACCTCAGGTTAGCTATTAGTAAATAACATTTTATTTTATTTTTTGAGACAAAAGTCTCACTCTGTTGCCCAGGCTGGAGTTCAATGGTGCGATCATAGCTCCCTGCAGCTTCGAATTCCTGGACTCAGGAGACCTCCTGCCTCAGCCTCCCAAGTAGCTAGGAGTACAGGTGCACACCACACCACCACACCTGAGTAATTTTATTTTTTATGTTTTGTAGACATGGAGCCTTGCTATGTTGCCCAGGCTGATCTTGAACTCCTGGCCTCAAGCTATCCTCCCAGCTCATCCTCCCAGAACTCTGGGACTACAGGCATATTCCACCACGCCCAGACTCTGCACATTTTAGAATGCATTTCTAGGGTTTCTTAGGTATTTTTTTTAGGGCCTCAAAAAAGTCTTGTTGGCATTTTTTAAAGAATGTTATCAACTTATTTACGGATTCATGTTTTCCTTTACATAGGATATATGCTTTACGAGGATTTAAAAAATTCTTCTTAGAAGTCTAGTGCACCCTGGGATGGGTTAATCGTAGATACTTTACAGTATTTTTTTTTTTTTTTTTTTTGGAGATGGAGTCTTGCTCCGTCACCCAGGCTGGAGTGCAATGGCGCAATCTCCACTCGCCACAACCTCCACCCCCTGGGTTCAAATGATTCTCCTGCCTCAACCTCCCGAGTAGCTGGGATTATAGGTACGTGCCACCACGCCCGGCTAATTTTTTGTATTTTTAGTAGAGATAGGGTTTCACCATGTTGGCCAGGATGGTCTCTAACTCCTGACCTCGTGATCTGCCCACCTTGGCCTCCCAAAGTGCTGGGATTGCAGGCATGAGCCACCGTGCCCAGCCTATAGTATCTTATTTTCTAATAAAATTTTTACTTGGTATTGATGATGCTGGTGATCTAGAGGAACTTTTTTTTTTTTTTTGCAAGTTTTTCTTTTTTTGAAAAAAACTTTGTGGAAATATAACTGTAAATACAATTTGCTCTTTTAAAGTATGTAATTTAATGGCTTTTTATATACACAGAATTGTGCAACCATCACCACAATCAATTTTAGAACATTTTCGTCATCCCTAAAAGAAACCCTGCACCCCTTAGACATCATCCTCAACCCATGCCAGCTCTCAACCCAGCCCTGGGCAATCACTAGTCTACTTTTTGTCTCTATAGTTCACCTATTTTGGACATTTTATATAAATAGAATCATATAATATGTCATCCTTTGTGACTGGCTTCTTTCACTTAGCAGAAGGTATTCAAGGTTCATCCTCTTTGTAGCATGTATCAGTACTTCATTCCTTGTTATGGCTAAATAATATTCCATATATAGACACACCACATTTTGTTTATGTCAGTTGATTGCCATTTGGGTTGTTTCTATCTTTTGGCTATTTTATTTTGTATTTTTATTTTGTATTTTTTTGGGACAGAGTCTCACTCTGTCACCCAGGCTGGTGCGCAGTGGCATGATCTCGGTTCACTGCAACCTCCACCTCCCAGGCTGAAGCAATCCTCCCACCACAGCCTCCCAAGTGGCTAGGACCACAGGCATGCACCACCACACCTGGTTAACTTTTGTATATTTTGTAGAGGCAGGGTCTCACTGTGTTGCCCAGGCTGGTCTTGAACTCCTGGGATCAAGCAATCCTCTCTCCTTAGCTTCCCAAAGTGCTGGCATTACAGGCATGAGCCACCATGCCTGGCCAATTTACTAATATTTTTCTTCTATTCTGTTGATTGCCTTTTCATTTTCTTGATGGTGTCCTTTGAAACACAAAGGTTTTAAATTTTGACATTGCCCAATTTGTCTAATTTTTCTTTTATTGTTTGTGCTTTTGGTGTCATATTTAAAGAAACCATTGCCTAGTCCAAGATCATGAAGATTTATGCCCATGTTTTCTTCTAAGAGTATAATAATGTTAGCTTTTACCTTTAGGTCTTAGGTACAATTTGTGCTAATTTTTGTTTATGGTGTGAGTTGGGGGTTCAGCTTCATTATTTTGCATGTGGATGTTCAGTTATTATTGTCATATAACTCACAAGCCATATAATTCACCCATTTAAAATGTGTCAGCCAGGCGTGGTGACCCATGCCTGTAATCCCAGCACTTTGGGAGGCTGAGGCAGGTGGATCACTTGAGGTTAGGGGTTCAAAACCAGCCTGGTCAACATGGTGAAATGCTGTCTCTACTAAAAATACAAAAAATTAGCTGGGGCTGGGTGCAGTGACTCATGCCTGTAATCCCAATACTTTGGGAGGCTGAGGCGAGCAGATCACAAGGTCAGGAGTTTGAGACCAGCCTGACCAACATGGTGAAATCCCGTCTCTACTAAAAATACAAAAATTAGCTGGGTGTGGTGGCACGCACCTGTAATTCCAGCTACTCAGGAGGCTGAGGCAGGAGAATTGCTTGAACCTGGGAGGCAGAGATTGCAATGAGCTGAGATTAAGCCACTGCAGTCCAACCTTGGTGACAGAGCGAGACACCATCTCAAAAAAAAAAAAAAAAAAAAAATTAGCCGGGTATGGTGGCACATGCCTATAATCCCAACTATCTGGGAATGGCTTGAAACTGGGAGGCGGAGGTTGCAGTGAGCCAAGATTACGCCACTGCAGCCTGAATGATGGAGTGAGACTTTGTCTCAATAAATAGATAAATAAATAAATAAATTAAATTAAAAATAAATAAAAAATAAAAATAAAATGTGTCATTTGCAGAGTGTAGTGACTCATGCCTATAATCCCAGCATTTTGGGAGGCTGAGGCAGGAGGATTGCTTGAGCCCAGGAGTTCAAGACCATCCTGGGCAACATAGGAATACCCTGTCTCTACAAAAAACAAAAATAAATTAGCTAGACATGGTGGTGTGTGCCTGTGGTCCCAGCTACTCAGGAGACTGGGCTGGGAGGATTGCTTGAGCCCAGGTACTGGAGGCTACAATGAGCTGTGATTGTACCGCTGCCCTTCAGGTTGGGCGATAGAGTGAGACCTTGTCTTTTCAAAAAACAAAAACAAAAAAACAAAAACAAAAAAAAACAAAAGTGTGATTCAATGGTTTAGGTTATATTCCATTTTTTAGTGCCTCTGTTTTTGGTGCCATATCCAAGAAATTGTTGCGAAATCCAGTGTCATGAAGATTTTCCCCTGTGTTTTATAGTTTTAGCTCTTAAATTCTTTTGAGGTAATCTATTGATATAATATTTTTTTTTTTACTATTTTTCTGTTATTTTTATATATATATGGTAAAGTCCAAATTTATTCTTATTTTTTTTTATTTTATTTATTTATTCTTTAGACGAGGTCTTGTTCTGACACCCAGGCTGGAGTGCATTGTTTTATTGGTTCTTGTATCTATGTTGGCTGTTCAGGTTCAGCAATTTCTCCTGTCTTGTTGTGTTTAGCCTGGGTGTTATTTCTGTTGTGTACCACCTGTATATATTTTTGGAATGTTTTTTGGTGATGTGTTGGTTTTCTGTGTGGGTTGTTCTATATCTTGATTTGTGTTGTACTGTGTCCCTAAGTGTTTCTTGGTTCTTGGCAGTGTCCCCCATTTATATTTTTTATTATTTGTTATTTATTATTTTTTACTTTATTTAGATGGAGTCTTGGCTGTCCATCTAGGCTGGAGTGCAATGGTGCCATCTTGGCTCACTGCAACCTCTGCCTCCCAGGTTCAAGCCATTCTCCTGCCTCGGCTTCCCAAGTAGCTGGAACTACAGGCATGCATCATCATGCCTGGTTAATTTTTGTGTTTTTAGTAGAGATGGGGTTTAGTAGAGACCATGTTGGTCAGACTGGTCTCCAACTCCTGACCTCGTGATCCACCCACCTCGGCCTCCCAAAGTGCTGGGATTACAGGTGTGAGCCACAGTGCCCGCCTATTTATTTATTTATTTATTTA